AGATTTCAAGAACTATGGGGGACTCAAATTGTCCGTGGGTCCAAGAGAAGCTAGTCTTGGGAAATGGAAGTAAAACTCTCAAACATTTTCTTGGAGATACTTATATACATACATACATATAGATGTACATAAACATACATATGTGTGTATACCAAATCTTATAAGCACACTGATGTTACTTCAGTCAATGGATTCAGTTAGAGACTTAAATGAAAAAGGAAGGAAAGAAGCATTTATTGTCTACTATGTGTCAGGCACTATGCTAACTACTTTAAAAATATTTCATTTGATATTCATAACAACCTTGGGAGGTAACTGTTATTATTAACCTTGTTTTATGGTTGAGGAAATTAAGACAAATAGAGGTTAAGTGACTTACCCAGGGTCACACAGCTAGTAAATGTCTGAGGCCATATTTGAACTCAGGTCTTCCTGACTCGGGGGTTATGATTCTATCTACTGAATCATTTACCTGTCTCTATAAGTGAGATTCATTTTAAAAAGACTATTTTTTAATGTTTAGTAAACCAGTCTTTGTATTGTTTTGCCCATGAGAAAAAGTGTGTTTTCTTTTTGTTACTAGTAATGGTAAGTAGCTATTTATAAAAAAAAAGTCATCTCATACTCCAACTTGTCTTTTTTTTTAAGCTTTGAAAACAACATGTAGTATTTATTATATAAGTTTTCTGGAAATGGAAATTTATTTTTTTATTTGGAATCCTCTCCTATGTTCTGCTATGTACATGGAAATGTTCTTTTTAAATTTTTTTTTGTTTTGTGTTTGTTTAAAATTAATTTTAAAAATTACCAAAAAAAATTGGGCTACAGACAGTTCCTATGTGATCCTGCGCAAGTAACTTAATCTCTGTCTGCCTTACTTTCCTCATCTGTTCATACTTTCTTCTAAACTCATTAACATATACCTTCTAACATCATTCTAAAACAGCTTCCTCCAAAATTACCTATTATCTTTTTTTAGTTTCCTTTTTTAAAATTTACCTCTACATTCACCTCTAACAAGATTTTGAGTTCCAAATTTTCTCCCCATCTCACCCCACCCCCACCCCAAGATAACATGCATTCTGAATACCCCTTCCCCTAATCTGTCCTCCCTTCTATCTCTCCCCCCCTTCTCTTATTCCCTTCCTCTTCTATTTTCCTCTAGGGTAGGATAGATTTCTGTACCCCATTTCCTGTATTTATTATTTCCCAGTTGCATATGAAAACAATTTTTTTAACATGTGTTTTTAAAACTTTGGGTTCCAAATTTTCTCCCTTCCTCCCTCCCCACCCACCCTCATTGAAAAGGCAAGCAACTCGATACAGGTTATACGTGTGTAGTTAAGCAAAACACTTCCATAGTAGTCATGTTGTGAAAAACTAACTGTATTTCCCTTAATCCTATCCCACCCCCCATTTATTCTATTCTCTCTTTTGACCCTGTCCCTCCCCAGAAGTGTTTGCTTTTGATTATCCTCCTCCACCAATCTACCCTCCCCTCTATCATCCCCCTGCTCTCTTATCCCCTTCCCCCTATTTTCCTGTAGGGTAAGATAGATTTCCATACCCAATTGAGTGTGTATGTTATTCCCTCCTTAAACCAAATCCTATGAGAATAAGATTCACTCATTTCCTCTCACCTTCCCCCATTTCCCCTCCACTGTAAAAGTCTTTTCTTGTCTGTTTTATGTGAAATAATTTACCCCATTCTACTTCTCCCTTTCTCCTTTTCCCAGTATAATCCTCTCTCATCCCTTAATTTTATTTTCCAGATATCGCTCCTTCATCTTCAACTCACCCTGTGCCATCTATCTATCTATCTATCTATATACATACATATAAATTTTTCCCTCCAACTACCCTAATACTGACAAAGGTCTCATGACTTACAAATATCATCTTTCCATGCAGGAATATAAACAGTTCAACCTTAATAAATCTCTTATGATTTCTCTTTCCTGTTTACTTCTTCATGTTCCACTTGAGTCTTGTATTGGAAAGTCAAATTTTCTATTCAGCTCTGGTCTTTTCATCAAGAATGCTTGAAAGTCCTCTATGTCACTGAATGACCATTTTTTCCCTGAAGGATTATACTCAGTTTTGCTGGGTAGGTGATTCTTGCTTGTAATCCTATCTCCTTTGCCCTTTGGAATATTATATTCCCTGCCCTGTGGTCCCTTAATGTAGAAGTTGCTAAATCTTGTGCTATCCTGATTTTGTTTCCACAATACTTGAATTGTTTCTTTCTGGCTGCTTGTAATATTTTCTCCTTGACCTGGGAGCTCTGGAATTTGGCTACAATATTCCTAGGAGTTTTCCTTTGGGGATCTCTTTCAGGAGGTGATTGGTGGATTCTTTCCATTTCTATTTTGCTCTCTAGTTCTAAAATATCAGGGCAGTTTTCTTTGATAATTTCTTGAAAGATGATATCTAGGCACTTTTTTTGATCATGGCTTTCAGATAGTCCAATAATTTTTACATTCTCTCTCCTGGATCTATTTTCCAGGTCAGTTGTTTTTCCAATGAGATATTGCACATTGTTTTCTATTTTTTCATTCTTTTGGACTTGTTTTACAGTGTCTTGATTTCTCATAAAGTCACTAGCTTCCAATTGCTCTATTCTAATTTTTTAAGGAAGTATTTTCTTCAGTAAGCTTTTGGACTTTCTTTTCCATTTGGCCAATTTTGCTTTTTTAGGGCATTCTTCTCCTCATTGGCTTTTTGGACCTCTTTTGCCGTTTGGGTTAGGCTATTTTTTAAGGTGTTATTTTCTTCAGTACTTTTTGGGGTCTCCTTTAGCAAGCTGTTGACTTGTTTTTCATGATTTTCTTGCATCACTCTCATTTCTCTTCCCAGTTTTTCCTCTACTTCTCTTACTTGTTTCTCAAAATCCTTTTTGAGCTTTTTCATGGCCTAGGACTGATTCATATTTTTCTTGGAGGTTTTGGATGTAGGAATTTTGACTTTGTTGTCTTCTTCTGGTTGTATGTTTTGATCTTCTTTGTTACCAAACAAAGATTCTATGGTCTGACTTTTTTTTTTGTGCCTTTGTTTGCTCATGATCCCAGCCAATTACTTGAGTTTTAAACTCTTTGTTAAAGTAGGGGTCTGCTTCCAATGTGGAGAATGTACTGTCCCATGCTTTGGGGGTTTTGTGCAGCTGTTTTCAGAGATATTTCTAGGGACCTGTAAATTTTCAGTTCTTCCAATGTGGTATGATAAGGGGTGAGGTGTTTATTCCTTTCCTGGACCATGCTCTGGTCTATGAGTGACCACAAGCACTCTTTTCCTACCTTGGAACTGTGAGGAGGATTTCCTCTCCACCACCACTACAAGCTCCACCATGCCAGCAGTCCTCTTTGCCCCAGAACCACCAGAACTGTGACCCAGATCCAAGCACAGTCAAAGCAAGAGATTCCTGCCTCAGCACTGGAAAAGAGACTCCTTCAATCCTGCTTTGATCAACCACCCAATTCCCCCTCAGTCTGTGGGCTGGAAGCTCCTGAGGCAGCTGCTGCTCT